TTCATTTCACGTATTTATAATTATAATCAGTCTATGTTGTCACATCCAGCAAGTGTTGTACACATAGCTTCCTATCTCCACCAACCCTCATCCAACTTAAAATAATAATAAAAAATTACAGTAACTTCTTTAAAGTATATTAAAATAACATTAACACTATACACTCATTTTTTTTTGAAGTGATAACTAAAAATTATAGATATAAATGATATTTTACTATTTTTTTTTGAAGTGATAACTAAAATTATAGATATAAATGATATTTACCCTATGATATTTAACTTGTTCCTAAAATTCCATTAATATATGTACATTCCCGTATAATAAAAATAGTTGGATTTAGAATCAATTGCACCTTTATTCATATTGCAAATTTGTTGTGCCTTAATTGGATTGCTACCCACCATAATTAAACCATCACAAATCAAATTAATTCTGCCGAATAACCATCAAAGACCCTCTTAGATTTTGAACATTTCTTTGTACAAACTTAAGTGTGTGACATTGGTATAAAGTATAAACTACCACATATCAATCAAGGTATCTATCACTTTGAATCCTCTAGAGCTGCATATTTTAGAGTATCCATGTTAAAATACTTATAATATTTTAAAGAATTGTGTAGATAGATTGTATTGAAATTTTAATAGTTTCATTTCATACAATTATTTGTCACATACATATTGGAGCCCTATATGTGTTTTTTTATTATATTTGTCTGAAAAGCTCACTTGAAAGTTGGCCATAAAGTAAATATTTTTAATTAGAATAAGGAATCTGATTGCAGAAGATACTTCAATTGTCTCTTTTTATAAAGTAAAAGCTTACATAAATTCGAACTCCTTGTTTCCCTCCAACAAGTATTATCCCCATATTATAACCAACCACGACCTCTTTTAAAGCAGGACCATCGATCATGACCTTATGCAAAATTTGCAGATGCCAGCATGCCAGTTGTTAAATTATTGTTACAATGTTCTTATTATTATTTTTGGTTACAGTTACTATGATCTTATTTACATCTGTACTGAAAAATAAAAACCATATGATCTTATTAGTTTTCCCGCATATATGAACATGAACCGAGTGCAAAGCACATGAAAACCAATAATATCAATAGGTATTGAAGGTTGTGGCAATCCTCAGTGACAACAGAGACAGTGAAAGTGAAAATGGGAATATGTGATTTCACAGTAGAAATATATACATCATTTGTAGTGTGTGATGGTTGTGCAAAACTAAGATGGTGGCAGTGAAGGCAAAATAACCTAAGAAACCACCATTTGGTGAGAAGAAGGGGAAAGTTTTGGTGAGAAGAGTGTGTGGTAGGATTTATTGACCGAAGAAACTCGTGCATGACACCATAGAATTAGCGACAGATTGTGTCCAAAAATTCTGTATTCAAATTCACAGAATGCCAAAATGTATTATTAAACAATTTTCTGTATTCAAATTCACTTTAATGAATCAAAATGTATTAAACAATTCTATTTCCAATCATCTTGAAGCAAATAAACATCAAACCCATGTTAAGACCAAATAGCATATGGTTCGTTTTATTATAGTTAGCCACCACATTTCCACAAGTTTCCATCTATCAATTTAGACTAAGCAAAGATCAAGATGTTAAAACAAAAGTAATTAATTCGGTGCTAAAGATCAAGATTGTTTGGCTAAAAACCAAGGTATATCTTGATACTATTACAAAAACTAATCTTATAAAATAAACAGGACAACTTTTCAGCGACCTTTAGCAATATGCAACAGGACAACATTTCAGCGACCTTTAGCAATATAGGCAGTCAGAGCGATCAAAAGTGTAGCAGCAGATGACATCCCAGTCCAAAATTGCTTACCTTGCGCATCAGACACAGACTTCTGCATAGATACAACTTGTTGCTTCATCTGATCCACCATTTCATTCTTAACTTTGAATGCTTTCTTTATCGTCTCTAATTCTTCAGCAAAAGACTGAATTTCTTCTTTCTCGTGTTTCTTCTTCCCACTGCGAGGAATCACTTCCACACTTTCCTTAACCACAACTGCAGCAGCAGTACTCTTCAACAATTCCAAGGCCTGCTTAGAATTGATGCAGGATGAGTCAAACTTAGCTCTCAATTCATCGCATTCTCGTTGAGCAGCAATAAGGCTACTATGTGCAGCATCCTTTTCCTTAATCAAAACATCTACTCGGCCTCCCAGCCCCTTGTTCCTCTCATTCATCTTCTCTTTCTCGCTTCTTATCTTGGCCAAATCAGCTTCAACATTTCCAATTTTTTCCTTCAGTCCTGCAACTTGCAACTCCAAATTCTCCCCCTTATTCTTCTCCTTCTCATATCCCTTCTTGACGGTATCCTTCTCAAGCTTCAACTCAGCAACTTGCAACTCCAAATTCCCCACTTTGGTTTGCTCCTCATCATATCCCTTTTTGATGTTATCCCTCTCAAGCACCACTTCATCAACCGCATTCTTAGAACATTGAACTTGAGAAAGTAATAGCTCAATCTTTTTCTCCATTGCCACAACTTGTGACTCCAAATTCTTTACTTTGTTTTTCTCCTCATCATATCTCTTTTCAATGTTATCCCTCTCAAGCACCACTTCATCAACAACTTTCTTATAAGATTGAACTTGAGAAAGTAATTGCTCAATTTTTTCCTGCATTACCACAGCTTGTGACTCAAAACTCTCCACTTTAGTTTTCTCTTCTTCAAACTTCTTAATGTTGAGCTCATTCATAGATTTTTCCTCTAGAATAACATTACTATAATGATGAACTTGAGACCATAATCCAATATTTTTCTCTTCAACCTTTTTGCAAGACATTTCCAACTCATCAACAACACCCCTTAGTCGACTCACTTCACCTAGCAACTCAATAATTTCGTCCTCGCCACTAACTTTAACCTTCTCAATCTCCTCTCTGGCTCTATTCGCTTCATCAACCTCGCGCTGCCTATTCTCCAACTCTCTCTCAACCACATCAAGTTTTCTCAAAACACCATCTCTTGCCTCAGTTAAAATCTCAATACTCTTCTCCATTTCCTTCTTCTCTCCAACCAAATAGCCATATTCCACCCTCAGTTCCCTCTCTTTCTCCACAGCAAGCCCAATAGTTTCTTCCATTTCAACAATCTTAATGCGCATCAGCTCCTCTTCTTTCCGCGAGTTTTTCAAAAGGTCGCCATGTTGCAGCACCTCACGTTCGAGGTCAAAGATCTTTGTCCCCTGAGTACTGTTCACATTCTCAATCTCATTCTTCACCTTCACCAACAAATCCATCTTCTCCTTCAACTCATCAATCACCTTCTCTGACTCAATCAACTTCTTCAAAGTCAAATCTTTCTCATTTTCAAGCTCTTCAACCCTTCTTTCCTTCTGAATCTTCTCCTCCAGCAGACTCCCGGCTTCCAACCTAATCTTCCCCACATTCCGCTTCTCATTCTCGAGACTCAACACAAGGTCATTCACCTTCTCCTTCTGAACATCAACCTCGTACTTGTTCTCATCCCTCTCCTCAACAACCCTATCAAAACAAAACCCTAATTCAGCAAAATGGGCCCTAGCAAAAACAAAAAACACATACTTTTCAATCTCCAAAGCAAAATTATTCTCGGAGATTCTCGCTTCAGCGTCCATGGCAGCGTGATTTGAATGAAGAAGTTCTTGAATGTGGTTTCTGTGATTAGTAGTTTCTTTGAGAAGAACGTTGTTAAGGTTCTTGAGATTCTGAATCTGAACAGAAGAGTCATCAATGGTGGTTGTGGTTGTGGTTGGTGGGGTTAATGTCTTGTGGTCAAGAGATTGAGATTGAGCATGGGCAACTTTCTTTTTGGCCATTTCTGAGTGTTTGGGAGTGATTGAAAGATGGGGATTAGGGTTTTGGTTTGTTTCCAAGGTTCTAGGGTTTTTCTATTTTTTTTTCTATGGACTATAATGAATGAATGTTGATGTGGTTATGGATGGGGAATAGAGATACTGTGGTTTTTCAATGTTGTGTTTCAATTTCAAATTTAGGGCCCAAACCCTAATGCCAATAGCGGTGTTTATATAATAGTGCTAGTAAATAGTCATGTGTTTTTTTTTTTTGTTTCAAGTTTCAAACATGAGCGTGATGCGATTTTCATAGCTTGCTTTTGTTGCTCACGTGACGTGACAGTGCAAGTGGAGTGCTTACATAAGGCCGCCAACGCTTCTTTTCTTTTCTTCCATAACCTAATAAGCATGGTTCATTTGACATCATGCATATAACATTGATAAAGGGTTATTATTACTCGATTAAATGGTCATATAAATAATATATTTTTTAGAAAAAAATAAATTATATTTTTTTATTTTTTATTTTATTTAATATGATTGTGTGATTAATTTTAAATGTTAAATAATTAAAATTATTAATTAAAATGAAATAAGTATTTTTTTAATAGTAATATGTTAAATAAAAAATTAATTATATGAATAGTTATGGAATATTATCTATTTTCAAAAAATTAATTTTTAATTTTATTAAAATTTAAAAATAGATTAATTAATATTTTTAATAATAGTAAATAATTAGAATTAATTTTTTTTTAAAATTAAAAATTAAATATCTACATTGTATATATTTGGTAAAATTATCTCCAAAGCCTTTTAAGTTATTTAATTGTAATAAGTTTGTTTTTTTTGTTTTTTTTGCTACATGTAAATTTTTTATGCTAACTAATGTCTACAACGTTACTCTTTTTGAAAAAGTTGGTATTGTTTATTTTATCTTTAAATTTAATTATTTGGTGTCAACCACATCCACGAACTAAAGCTCAATGTTAAAGTCCTCTACACCATCTGAACCACAACACAATTATGTTACTTTCCTACATCAACTTATATATAAAGCCTTCTTTTGTGCATAACCGTTGATTGCTTCCAAAACACAAGTACGCAATGTTGTTACTCGGTTGTTTATCTAGTCATGATAAGCAATCTTCACTATCCGTTGCTTCATTTGATTTTCAGGCAAACAATCATTGCTTCATCTTTTTTTATAGAAAAGATAGCTTCATTATAATTATGAAAAACAAGACAAGAGCAACACATAATGTGCTATAAGTTTTAATTACAGACGGATAAGGCAAATAAGTAAATTTCAAGGCTTAAAGGGTGCTTAACATATTCCGTTGTAACACTAAGTTGTACTTTCACTGCATTGATAGTTTATTCATGTCTTGTTAGTTGAATTTCGAAAGTTTCTAGACTTAGAAGCACATTCTAAAGATTCATTTTTTACATTTTTTATGCGAATTCTAATATTGAGTGTCAGCAATCAACGATTATGCACAAAAGGAGGCTTTATATATAGGTTGATGTAGGAAAGTAACACAACTGTGTCGTGATTCAATTGGTAGAGGACTTTAACATTGAGCTTTAATGTGTGGGTTTAAATCCCTCTTGCTACAAACAAATTATTTGTTCAACATTCATTGTCCAATAATATATTGACATGTGCTGGCACCAAATAATTATATTTAAAGCTAAAATAAAAATACCAACTCAATACAGTTAACTGATACCTCAACGGAAAAAGGGCAACACTGCAGACGTTAGTTATAACATAAATGACCTAAAAGTGGATTTAGGGGATTGGTGAGGGAAAAAGACAAACGTAAATTTGAATTTGTTACGTCATGTTTCAGAATGAGGTTGAATGAGAAATTACAATATTTTGGACATTTGGCATTTACTGTTATTCATTTTTTATGTGCAAAATTTTAAAAAGAAAAAGCATATTTTAGGGTATTTAGTGGTATCTTATTTTAATGGATAGATAGTTGATATCATTAATGGTGAACTTTTGAGTATTGTGGATATCTTCAAGCTCTTGTTTGGTGTCAATGATACTTTCAAATTACTCTAACATTCAAGTTAAGGATCGTTGATAGTGAGTGTTAGGGAGTCTAGAAAGCGAGGTTTGGAAGTGTTAATGGGAGTCTGGGAAAAGAGGTATGGAAATGTCAATAGGACAAACATTTGGAATCCAAGAGACCTTGACGCCACATATCCATCCAAACCCTAAGGCATAGAGGGTATGGGTCATATTTCTTATAAACTCAATATTAGCACCCCACACATCTATTGTATTGAACGGGAACCGTTTAGTTAGTTTTGCGAATAGAAATGTTAGCTTATGATATTTGATTTCTTCTAATTATTGTGGTTATTTACAAGTGGGAGAAAAATTAGTTTTTTTTATTAGGGTGCTTAACGAGACATTGAATCACGCTCCTACGTATTACCAGGTTCGATGGGGAACTCAAAGCTACAGAGTTCTTACTAGCAAATGGTTGTTTGTAAGTTGATTTTAGTGAGCGACATTTAGGTCGCATTCGAGTGGTTTAAGTGTTGCTTTCTTGTTGCGCATGGGAGAAAAGAAGTGTTTTCTTGTTTGACTCATCATAATGGATAAAACATCGTTTGTTTATGAAAATGTTTGTCGTCGTGTTCAGCGAAAAATGAGGTTTGATTGGTTGAAGTTGTTTTTAGGTGAACGATGAGTATTTGAAAGGCAAGCTATTACGACTTGTATCCAAATACTCGGGGACTAGGATGAATATTTCATCCAACTAATACTTTTTCATCCAAGTTATTTATGAAACTTGTGAGGTGAATTAAGTTACAATCCCTTCAAGGAAGATAAGTATTCAAAAGGTCAACTTTTATCCAAATACCCGTGGACTAGGATGGATATTATGTCCAACTAATCCTTTTTCATCCATAAAATAATGAACTAAATTTGGTTAATTATTGTATTTTGAACGGAAGACAAGTACTCGAAAAATAAGCTATTACGACTTGTATCCAAGTATTCTTGGACTAGGATGGATATTACGTCCAACTAATCAATTTTCAACTGATTTATTTGAGAAAAGATTTTGAAGTGTTTGAATAAGTGGAGAAAATTACTTGTTATTGATCAAGTTGTGAAAGATGATTTGACTTTGATTTGAAAATGATTTTAAATCGAGTTTAAAGTGTTTTTGATTTTTACTTTGAAAATGGTTTGACTTTAATTTTAAAAAAGTTTAATCTGATTAAATTGAAACAATTAATTATGAAAAATGACTTAGTCTATTAAGTTGTAAAAATGAAATTTAGATTTTTCTAAATATTCATTAAGAGAACAATTCAACTAATCAATTAAAATAAACAAATGAATAAATAATAAAATAAATAAATAAAAAGGAAATGAATGTAATATTAACATGGGCCAAACAGAAAAAAGTAGAACAATGGGCTGAAGACCCAACTCGACTAAAATATAAAGCTTAAAAAAGGTGTATTACTGAAAAGGGGACTAAACATTGACCCCAATATTTCGAAACAGGTTCGAGAAGGTGACTCATAGAGGATAATATAACACATGTTGCAGCTTCCTAGCTCTCACCAGTAAGACTCTCTTTTTATTACCTGCAAACAAAACAACAATAAAAACTAAGTTATTAAAAGCGTGGGTTTCCTCCCATAAAGCACTTCGTTTAACGTCACATGGCTCGACGGTTCATACCCTTATGGGGGTACTTCCTCTTCCACACCTTGTTTTTTTTTCCCGCAATCCAGAACTCATTTAGATCAAAAGTCTCAACCCCTTTGTACTTCCAGCCACTTCCAACTTCCATCTTTTCATCTTGGTGTTCCTTATTCTTTCCCTTATTTCCTTGTTGACTGTATTTAGGAATTTTTATTGATGCCATCAGAGAGATTTTTCCCAAGACTTCTTCTGGTTATGATTTTGAGTTGTTGCCTTCTCCTTCTACTTTGATCATTTCGACTGAAGATTTATCCTTTCCACCTGCACCTTGCTTCCTGATTTCTAACAACTTCAAGGTTATTTCCTCATCAAATGATTTCAGTGTCAGATTACTTGTCTCGATATTAAAATTGCATCGACTAGTCAGCATAAATGGTGGACCAAGAATGATATGAGTCTCTTCATCTTCAGGTATGTCCATGATCTGAAAATCAAATGGGAAAACAAAATTGTCAATTTTCACTAATACATCTTCATCTATCCCATATGACTGATGGATGGTGTAATCCGCAAATTTCAATTTTGTTCCACTCCCGCTTATCTTCTCAATATAGAGCTTCTTGAAAATCGATAATGGCATTAAACTCACACTAGAGCCATAATCAATCAGAACCCTCTTGAAAGCTCTATCTTTTATTATGCATGGTATTGCAACTGACCCTAGATCCCTCTTCTTGACAGGTATTTTTCTCTCGGGCGCAACTTTACACAATTTCTCATCAATGGGTACTTGTCAATCTTCTGCCGGTTTCTTTTTTGAAAGTACCTCCTTCATGAATTTTTGGTACAATGGCATTTTCTCGAGTGCTTCAAAGAATGGTATGTGAATTTCGAGCTTTTTGAAATTTTGTGAATTTCGAGCTTTTTGAAATTTTTTACAAATTTCTAAAAATCTCTTTATTTTGTGTCCTTCTATGCCACTCGAGATGGATACGGTAACTTGATCACTAGTTTAGTCTTCTCTTCAACTAGCTTCACACGCGATACCACTTCTTCCCATTTGTTCCTTTTCTTTCTCACTTCTAACTCTACTTCTATGATATTGCCATCAAACTTCACCTCTTATTCTTTTTCTCTATCAACTTTCTCACTCCTTGTTTTAATAGCATTCACATTCTCATGACTTTTTTTACTTTCTTGTGCCCGCAGCGCTACCTGTTGTGCAATCTGTCCCATTTGAACCTCCAAATTTTTTATTGCAGTTGTGGTATTCCTGTAATTACTCCTTGTCTATTCTTGAAATTGAGAGGTTTAGGCATCCATTTTTTCAATAGCC